CAGCACATCCAGCCCCGGGCAGTGCTGAGGGGCCCTTGGGCTCCGTTTCCCAGATGCTGACTCAGTTTCTCCGCATACAAGCAGGCTCCTGCTGCCCCTAGGCACACTCCTGTGAGAGAAGCCCATTATCACTCTACCGAGATCTCCTTGTGGACAGTGGTGGCTGCAATCCAAGCCATGGAGAGGAAGGTGGATTCTCATGCCACCCGGTTACTGAATCTGGAGGGGAGAACAGGGACAGCAGAGAAGAAACTGACAGCCTGTGAGAGGACAGCGCTGGAATTTGGGAACCAGCTGGAGAGTAAGTGGGCCTTGCTGGGAACTCTGATCCAGGAGAATAACTTCCTGCAGAGGAGGCTGGAGAACATGGAGAACTTGCTGAGAAACAGGAACTTCTGGATCTTAAGACTGCCCCCAGGAGCTAAGGGAGAAGTCCCCAAGGTAACAATATCCCAGCTAGTGCTGAAGGGTAGAAGCTTAGGTACTGAACGGGTTTCATGTCTTCTGTCCTGCTGGCCCTTTAATTCACCACTAGATAAGTTCTTGGATGGAGGGAGTAATCTTCTTAACTTCAAAGTGTCCAGTAACTCACTGGCCAGACCCAGTCAGTCCAGTCATTGGTGAACAGTGTACAGGGCTAAGAGTCAGAATATTTGGGCTTTGCTTCCAGCTCAGTCGTTGATTTGTTGTTCATCTCCAGCAAGTGCTAATGTGGAGCAGTAATAGTAATCGGCTGTGTCTACACTGGGCCACTTATTCCGGAAAATCAGCCGCTTTTCCAGAATAAGCTGCGAGCTGTCTACACTGGCCTTTGAATTTCCGGAAAAGCAACGACACTCTACTATACAAAATCAGCCGCTATTCCGGAAAAGCTACGCTGCTCCCGCTCGGGCATAAGTCCTTATTCCGGAACACTGATCCGGAAAAGGGCCAGTGTAGACAGCCCAGTAGTCTTTTCCGGAAAAAAGCCCCGATCACGAAAATGACAATCAGGGCTCTTTTCCGGAAAACATTGGCCACAGATGCTTTTCCGGAAAAAGGGCTTTTCTGGAAAAGCAGCCTGCCAATGTAGATGCTCTTTTTCCGGAAATACTTATAACGAAAACTATTCTGTTTTAAGCATTTCTGGAAATTCATGCCAGTGTAGACACAGCCATAGCGTACGTATGTATCACCTCTGATGCAGTTTGGAAACACTGTTTGGAAATCTAGTTAAGAACCAGCACCATGTGCTCTTCACAGACCATCAGCAAAAGCTCTGTGTAGTCAGTGGGAGGAGAGGAAGAGAGCTCTGTACCGTTCAGGACACATTTTCTTGCTGAATTCTGACTTTTCAGAGTTTCCGCGACAATTACTGCTCCAGACTTGGTGCGTGTAAGAGCTCAGCGCAAGTTACATTTTCTGTCGTAAGGCTCTTCAAAGCTGCTAGAAGTCGGTTCACTTCAGTGGCCTTATTGTAACCCTTGTGATTCCAGGTGCCCGTGACATTTGATGACATCTCAGTCTATTTCAGCGAGCAGGAGTGGGAGAACTTGGAGGAATGGCAGAAAGAGCTTTACAAGAATGTGATGAAGGGGAACTATGAGACCCTCATCTCTCTGGGTAAGGATCGGTTTCCACTTGGATTAGAATCAGCCCCTACTCTGGTTCCAATTACAACTTATTCTCCATTTCCTTTGCTTTCCAGTGGCTCACTGCTTCCAGAGAGTTTACAATAGGCAGCTCGTCCCACACACCGTCCTATGTAAAACAAATTGGAAATTGCAGATGTAGATCTGGTCCAGTGTTCCCTAGCTGCAGGTAACTCTTTTAGTTACACGCTGCAGAATAGGCGAGGAGCCTGTTTATAGCTGTGATGCCTCTTTTATTCTAACATTTAGTTTCCCTAAACCTTTTGAAGCATATGGAAAGTCTCCCATTGACTTCCTAGGGCTTTGGATCAGGTTCAGCTTATTTAAGTGAGTTGACCAAGGTCACTTGGGGAATCCGTGGCAGAGCCACAAGTGGAACCCAAGTGTGCTGAGTAGCAGGCTAGTGCCCAAAATTCAAGGCCATCCTTTTTCTTTAAAAAGCCAGATCACCCCCATCCTGTGGTTAAATCAGACCTCTGTGTATTTAAATTCTCAGTTCTACCATTGCATCAACTAGTCCTTTGAGCATATGTCCCTGGATGCTGCACTATTGAATGCATGCATGCCATGCCCTCTTGACTGGAGACTCCAAGCAGTGTCTGCGGGCCCACTTCTGCATGGAGTGGCACCTTGTGCCTCCAAACGAGGGCATAGAAGAGGACATGGATCTGCTACCACTCACTTTCTTCTCGGTTGTCTGCGCTTTGAAATGGAGCACTTGTATCTCTGCTGGCTCTGAGCTTCTCGTCTTTCTTAGCACCATGATTTATTCTTAACTTTTGCTTTGTGTGCGTGGTTATTTCATTTCTGCTTTCAGTTTTCAAGTGGTGTTGGAATGCGGGCTCCCCCATTTTCTTCCCGTGGTCCCTTTTGGTTCATTAGCAGTCTGCATTATGCTATAGGATCCTGGGGTGTAAGTCTTGCCAAACCTGCCGCAGGTCTTTTCCACGTAGCGACAGGCATTCGAGCTGCCTCGGAGGCTCCCTCATCCTGTCCAAGTGTGAGAGCAGTTGACGATTTAAAGGCCGGTCTCAGGAAGACAGAGAGGCTGGACTGAATCTCCTTCTAATGAAATGCTCGCTAGCCCTAGTGGTGCCTGGGTCGTCTTTTGTACATCAGCTTCAATGTCCCAGGCCCCTCCAGCAGCACCTTGAGAGGCACAGACTTCCGAAAAGAAGCAGCTTCCTCCCCTTGTCGAGGATCGCCTCCTAAATCCCCCTCTAAGCAGACCTGTTCCTCTAAGGCGGACGGGCAAAAAAGGCCTCCACGGCCTGCCAAGCAGGTTGATCCAGGCTGCTGCTCCCCTGCGCCCAGACCAATCGGGGTCTGTTGGTGGGGAAGCACGGAAGTGTCTTGGCCCCGCCCCTTCCGGGGTGGCCCAAGGCCACTTCAAAAATTTCTGAAATAGTCCCTGGTCAAAAATGATTCGCCACCCCTGCTGTAAGGGCACGGCTCACGCGCCATCTGATTCCAGACTCCAGCCCCTCACCTCATGAGAAGCAGCATGCAGAGAAGTCCGCTAACAGCACAGGGAGTCATCTATCTCGCTACTGAGTGACCGGTCTCAGCACGGAGATGCGCTATGGCTCTGGTTAGCAGTGCAGCAGCTGGCTCCATGCAGCTCCTGAAAGTGGCTGGCATGTCCCTCAGGCCTAGGGGTGGCCGGTGCTGCGGGGGTTAACATGGCCCCTGCAGCCCACTAGGAGCCAGGTGCCCCCCATAGGTTGGCACCCTGGGCAGCTGCCTGGCTAGCCCCCCCTTAGTCCGGCCTTGGAAGGAACACCCTGTTTCCACTGTCTAGCGGTTTGGGCTACATTGCAGCCTGTTTAGAACGTGGTATGACGCAGGCCCTGCATCAAGTGACAGTTCATTCCCCCTGGACCTCAGTCCACAGCTGAAAGATGGCCCCATAACAGAAATCTGTAGGACTTCAGCCCGGTCTGCCATTCCCACCTTTCCCAGGCATTAGGGCATCTTGCCAACCCTTAGGAATGAGACGCAGTCCTGCGAACCAACTTGGACTTGCCTCCTTGTCAAGTTACTGCTTGGGAGTCTCCCCTGGTGGAGCACCCGTAGGGACACACTCTCGAAGGAGGAGAGGTTACTTACCTGATAGGACCTTGAGTTCTTTGAGAGGAGTTGTCCCTATGTGCGACTTCACCTCCCACCTTCCTTCCTCTCAGCTGCAGAGGTTCTGCCTCCCAGTAGAGGAGGAAGCGAGTGGTAATGAGTCTCCGCCTCCTTCGATGGCCTTTTTGGGGGCATGAAGTGCTAAACTGTACACCCCTGCAGACTTGCTTTGCCGTCCCTGGTTGAGAGTACAGGGGCATGCCTGCATCTTATGGTGAGTACACCCATAGGGACAGGACATCTCGAAGAACTCAAGTTGCTGTAACTTCTCCTTTAGTGTCTCCTGGTAATAGAGCATTGAGCATTCAACCCTGGCTCTGGCCATCCAGGGGCTCTGTGGACTTTGTCCCGATTTAGGTTCTCAAACATGGGTTAATATACCACTGTGCATATCAACTTCCCTGCTGTTGGTGACTCCCCAGCTCTTCTGCTGGGGAGCACTCCTGCTCTTCACAATGAATGGTATCTTCCTACAAGATTCTTATTAGTTATTGGCCCCAGTACAAATCCGTCACCAGCTCCAGCGAGAGAAGGGCAGCTGGTCTGAAATCATGTAACATTATTTGCAATGACTGTAAATAGGCCGTGATGTTCCCTTAACATCTGCTACCAACAGACTACGCTGTGTCTAAGCCAGACATCCTGGCCCGCATTGAACGAGGGGAGAAGCCGTGGGTCAGGGATGAGCAGGAATCTCTGGAAGGACTAGAGGAAAGGCTCCAGGAGAAAGACGGGCTGGTGGAAAGAGAGGTCCCTGGGGACCCCAGCGCAGGTGAGTTACGCCAACTATCACAAACCTGTACGTCCGCTGTTGGAAGTTTCCGAAAGCCTTAAAATTCTCTGCCAGGCGCAGCGTTTTCACGCACTGGATTTACGCTTTAAAACCTACATGCCAACCATGCCCTGCGTCAGCTTCTGCCCCACCCCCTTTTCATCCTAAACTCTGCCCAGGCGGAAGTGAACACACTGAGGGCAAGAGGATGGAAAGGGGATGTGACAGGAGCATGGTATGGGACTAAAGGCAACAATATTCCTGAGGTGTGGGGAATTCATTTCCTAGCAGAGCTCTGCCTTCCTGAACAATGCCTGTTTGGCCTCTGTTCAGCTCAGGCTGAAAATAATGTATGAGTAACTGATGAATATGAATAAAGTTCTCATTTCCCCTCAACTCTTACTGCATGAATAGGCCATGCCATTTCCACCCCCAATATCCTGCCCCGGGCTGAAGGAGGAGAGGAGCCGTATACCTGGGATCCAGGGAGCTCCCTAGACAGAGAAATTCCCCTGGAGCCCAGCACAGGTGAGCAGGGGGTTAGAATTTGGACTCAGTGAGGGGAGGGACCAGCAAGTGGCCCCTCAGCTTGTATAACTGCCTGGCTATGTCTAGACTGGCAAGTTTTTCCGGAAAATCAGCCACTTTTCCGGAAAAACTTGCCAGCTGTCTACACTGGCCGCTTGACTTTCCACAAAAGCACTGACGATTTCATGTAAGATTGTCAGTGTTCTTGCGGAAATACTATGCTGCTCCCGTTGAGCAAAAGTCCTTTTGCACAGAACTTTTGCGCAAAAGGGCCAGTGTAGACAGCCCAGATTTGTTTTCTGCAAAAAAGCCCCGATCGCGAAAATGGCAATCGGGGCTTTTTTGCGGAAAAGCGCGTCTAGATTGGCACGGACGCTTTTTCGCAAAAAGTGCTTTTGAGGAAAAGCGTCCGTGCCGATCTAGACGCTCTGTTCCGAAAATGCTTTTAACGGAAAACTTTTCCGTTAAAAGCATTTCCGGAAAATCATGCCAGTCTAGACGTAGCCCCTGTGTCTGGATGTGTTTTCTCATTTGTTTTTCCTTCTCTGTGCAAAACGTTACTCAACTGTCTGCCCATCCCAGACAGCTCTAGTCCCAAATCCTTTGATGGAAAGGTCAGCAGGTGTCGGTAGAAGAAGACACACTAATTTGCTTCTATTTCTTATTAACGTGATCACCAGTTTCCACATCTGGCACTTTAACCTGGATCAAACAAGAGGAAGAGGATGAGCAGGACTTGGGGGAAGAAGGAAGAATTCTCACAGGCTCCAGCATGGGTGAGCAATGGCTTGTTCCTGCAGGTCTTGCGTGTGCAAAACTCCCACTGGCTCTGGGGGGGAATGGGGCCCCTAACAGCATTGAAATGCCTCGAAGGAGAGGAGTGGAGGAGCTACCCTTGGCTCCTAGAGGCTCTTCCACCCCTGGGGTTTTTTACCGGCCCTAAGGCCCTGTCTCCACTACACCTGGTATCGATGCATCAGTGATAGATCCACCAGCCATCATTTTTATTGCATCTGCTTAGACTGGATAAATTGATCTCCGTGCGCACTCCCGTTGATGCCGGTACTCCACCAGGGGGAGAGGAGTATTGACGGGAGAGCAGCCCCCGCCCACCTTACCACCGTGATGAGTGTGTCAACTTCAGCTACTCTGTTTGCCTAGTTGAAGTAGATTGACGGCACCTGTTAGTGTAGACAAGGCCAAAGGGATTGTTTATTATTTGCATTGCAATACTAGATCAGGGCCCCGTTGTGCTAGGTGCTGCAGGAACACAGGACAGATGATCTCCGCCCCAAAGAGCTTACAGTCTAATCGCCCCGTTGTAAATGCGCAGCTCCCCACCCGCAATGCGGGCAGTTGATCCTGTCGTTCAGCTTTGAGCGTGCAGAAGAGCAGGGCTCCTTCTTCACGCTACCCCCATGCCATCTGCAGGGGGGTGTTTACTCAACACCCAGAGCAGTTTCAGGCCCATTAACGTCAGTCGTGCCGTCATGCGGGAGGAGTCTAGGCTAGATGTGTCAAGACATCCAGCCCAATTGTGCTATCTAGCTCATGAGACTTCAAGCCAGAACAAGCCCGAGTTCAGGGCCGTTGAGTTCATACAATAAATTGTTCATTGGACCATTAAAAAATGTCAGGTTTTTTCTGCACAGAATCTCTTAGTGTTGGGAGCTTTCCTTCCAGATCAAAGTAGTAACACTTGGCTGTCTGTATTCTAGCAGGTGGTGGGACAGCGAGCAAAGAGACGAAGCCACAGGAGAGATTTCTGGAAAAACTAGAGCCCCATGGGATGTCGTCGGTGAAATCAGAAGAGGAGGTTTTGCAGAGGCTACAGCAGGGAGAAGGTGCACAGCTGGCTCACCCTGTCGTTATCAGAGAGGAGAAATCCACCCAGTGCGACCGAGGCTTTGGCCTGCTCAAGGGCTTCGTTGTGCAGCCGGGAGAGAAGCCCTTTGCCTGCAGCGAATGCGGGAAGAGCTTCCGGCTGAAGGGGAATTTGGTCAAGCACCTGCGGAGCCACGCCAAGGTCCGGCCCTACAAGTGCACTGAGTGCGAGAAGAGCTTCAACTGCAAGTCAGACCTGCTACGACATGAGATGATCCACCGCGGGGAGAAGCCCTACAAGTGCAGCGAGTGCGAGAAGAGCTACAGCCGCAAGGTGTATCTGCTGAATCACCAGCGTGTGCACACGGGGGAGCGGCCCTTCCAGTGCCCAGTGTGTGAGAAGAGCTTCCGGCAGAAGGCCGTGCTCATCTC